ACTAAAGCAGGAAACAATTATGATACAGAACATTGAACGTGGAGTAATCATTTTAATAACTAACGGAAAAAGTTATAATAGATTTTTTTTACCCAGAAATGTATAGAGTTAAATAACACCATAGTTTCCTTCATACCACTTTTCCCAGTTCATTTCAGCACAGGAACTTGGCAATAGTCAAATTCCTTTGCCTTTAGCTACCACTCACTGAAAATGCAACATTTCAAACCACAAAAACATTCATGTTAACACTTTCTTACAACTAAATACAAACGTAGCAATTGACTCACAACTTTTTATCAAATGTGGAAAACCAAGCTCTAGAAGGAAACTTTCAACAGCTTATCCATCATCCAACAAAACTTCAGAGAGTACAGTATTTTGTGTCAAGCAGTATGTCCGGAGATGAGAAATGGGGTTGAATATATGGTAGAATTCTTCCCAGGATGTGCCCTTTGTAATGAAATACGTAGATTACTAGTCAGACATAAAACACAGTAACATAGGAGCCAGAAGGAAGAGAAGCCCAGGAGACTGTAGGAGCTCAGAAGGACAGAGCTCACCAGTGGGTGGGTCAGAGGAGATTCCTGGATATGACAGTGCCTGGAATGAGAGAACCTGGAAACTCAGAGAAACTGAGTATCCCAAGTTCACCTGAAATGGGAAGTTAACTTGTGGGGCTGTAAAGAGGTGCCTGGGAAGGAAGGCAAGGGCAAATCTTGTGGGCCTTATTTGCCAGTGCTAAGCAGCTTGGGTTTGTTTAGCAGGCAAAGGGGACTCACTAAGAGATTTTCAGTCATGGGGAAAGATCGGAGAGAATCGTGCGTAGTGTAAGATTTAAAATTTAAAGGAATCAGCCAGGAAGCAGGGAGAGAATGGACTGCAGAGGTGGGACTAAATTAGCAAAACTGGGAAGTGGCTGCCGCAGGTATCCATATAACAGTAATCTCAAAATCAATGAGGGCATGAATTAAGACCATGTAGACGGGTATGAGACAAGGGGGAAAAATAAAAAATATTTAGGAGACAGAATCACTAGTTTTAAGGGTTATTACCAAGTTTAAAATGAGGAAACTGAGGCCAGTATAAGAAAATTAAATGCCAATTTATTCGGCTCCCAGGTGAGGCTCTATGGTCCACCGGAAAGGGGGCCAGAGAAGTCGAGCCGACTTCCTGGGGCGTGGGGTTTTTACGGCTATGAGGACCGAACAACAGCTGGGTGCTCTGATTGGGTCCAGGGGAGCGGGATTGGGACAGGGCAGGCCACTATTGGTTGGCAGGTTGTTGGGTGGGTTTTCCGGTGTGAAAGCCGGCCAGGGTTGCATCAGCCAGAGCCTTCCAGGGGAGCCATGCGGCAGAGCTAGTTGCTGAGTGCAGAGCCTGGTGCCGGGTGCAGAGTCAGGTGCTGAGTGCAGAGGTGGGTGTGTCCGACCTCCTGGCGAGGCAACCGGCCTTACACTAGTATTTGGTGAATGACAGATGTGAGGTGTCAGTGAGGTAAAGGAGTCCAAGACTCTCCCAGATTTCTAGCTTGCACTCTTAATTGGACAGTGTATTAGAATTGTTCCTCAAGACTGAATGTGATAGACTTTTTATATGTTGTAATAACAGTATCTGATGTAAATATTAGATACTGATGTAATATCAGTATGCTATTATGATGTAAATGTCAGAAATGAAAATTATGACTGACAGTCATCATGTTACATTCTACTCTGTTATAATCTACTCTGTGATCTGGAAAAAAAAACATTCACCCTACCACTGAGCACAACACTGTGAAGTTGATACCCTGACAACAAAGATTCATTATAGTCAGAGACAACGTCTCCTGGGCACCTGGTAGGAGGGTCTGAGTTTCTCTGAACCCAAAGCACATCAACTGCCCTCCTAGGCAGCAAAAATCCCCTGCAATCAATTAGACAGGATCTAGCTGGACTGGAGGACCCTTTCCCAAGATCTTCAGAAGCTCTATGGGAAGCTGATTACATAACAGGGTGAAAATTAGAGATTTAGAAAGGTCTTGAGTGAGCTTCTGCCTTTTGTACTCTTACCCACAAGCATTATACCCTGAAGATATACCTGGGGTCCAGGATTTCACTGAGAGCCAGATAGCTAGGCATGCCAATTGTATCTTCAATGGCTCTCCACTTGCTCTCAGCACAGAATCCAAACTCCTTAGCACAGATACAATAATCTTCAAGCTAGATGGAGCATCTACCCAAATCACAATGATTCCTTTTTGCTGCAACTGGCCCTCCCACCCACAGTGCTATGGCAGCCATGTTTACAAGGCATGGTTTGGACTCCTCTTAACAGTTTAGTAAATCAAACATGGACCCAAGATGACCCTCTGCCAGGGATATCTGTTTCTGCAACCATCTCCTTTCTCTCAAATGCTAGATATAATGAGGCTTCAATAAATAACTGCTGGTAGAGATGCAAATAATTCATCCAATTGGAAAAGCATTCCTCCAGAGGTTATGGTTTTATTGCTCTATAGGATATTAACCAGTTTTATTTCTAACTTGCAATCTATTCCAGCATTCTTTTTTTACACTGAGTATACTAACTAGTCTTTTAACATCTTGTTTAGCGCTCTGCTGGTTCCCTAATTAATGAGCTAAGTAGATCTTTGACACATGCTTTTTCTATATATTTTAAATTACACTTTGAAAAAGACAAGCTAATTTCCCACACCCCACTCTTTTCTGTGGTAGGTATAAGCCTGAGAGTAGTTCACTTGTATTGCAAAAGGTTTCGCCATCAAAATGTGCTTACCAGTAAGAGATTTTAAAAATATTTCCATGAGAGCTGTTTCATCTTCTGGAGATGAATGAGTCTTGTATTATCTGCAATTTCTGATTATTCCATTTCCATCACCTGTGAGGGTCACCTAACAGCCTTGGAGAGGATCAAGGTCTTTGAGACACAGCTCAGCCTACCAACTACCACTTTGTAACATCTGAAGAGGCCAGGTGTGGTGGCTCTCGCCTGTAATCCCAGCACTTTGGGAGGCCGAGGCGGGTGGATCACCTCAGGTCAGGAGTTCAAGACCAGCCTGACCAACATGGTGAAACCCCGTCTCTACTAAAAATACAAAAAAAACATTAGCTGGGCATGGTGGCGCGTGCCTGTAATCCCAGCTACTGAGGAGGTTGAGGCAGGAGAATTGCCTGAACCCAGGAGGCGGAGGTTGTGGTGAGCCGAGATCGCGCCATTGCACTCCAGCCTGGGTAATAAGAGTGAAACTCCGTCTCAAAAAAAAAAAAAATCTGGAGAAAGGCTTTGGGATAAGCCCAAATTGTTCTACTTGACTTTCAGTGTTGCCCCACCTACACTGTTACCCAGATGTACCTGATGAAACTTAAGCAATGATAAAGTTACTTAAAACTTGGACTCTGCTGAGCTTGCCCATCTTCTGTTAGAAAAGGTGGGAGGGTAGATAAAGTAACACAAAGTTGAAGTCAGCAGTCAGGCGGCTGGCTGGCGCTACCGGCCCAACCACAGTGGGGTCCAAGGGCTGAGAAAATAACTCCCCTCTCTGTAACTGGTGCCTATGTTATCTATCAGCCTTGAAAATGTTGCAAAATAACGTTTTTCCTGGAGCCCAAGGACCTGCTCTGAGGCACATATTCCACGTTTGTACAATCTAGACCCAACCCTTAGAAATACCTCTGTCACTGAGTGACTTACTGTCTTTGTTTAACTTCTGTAATTCTTCCTCTTTTCCCTTCCACATGTAAATTAGCAAATCAATGAAAGTCAACGACTGTAAGGTCAGATGTCCAGCGAATGGGCAATGACACAGTTTTACCTTTGTTCCCCCTTGGGTTGTACGTCTTTAAAAAGGGAAAAAAACTGCTTTTCGGGGAGCTCTGTTTCTGGACTCGAGTCCACCAATGCTCCACAGCTAGCTGAATAAAGTCTCTTCCTTCCTCACTCCTGTGTCTGAGGGGCTCTGTCAGCGGCTCATCCTGCAACATGCCCACCTGCAAGTGTCATGGCTTTGGGCAAGTCATCGGATTAATCTTTCTGGGTCTCAGTTTCCACATCAGTTCAACAGAGTAATATCCTCAACAGGGCAATATCATTTTCCTTACAGTGTTGTTGAAAGAATTACAATTAGCCTGGCTCACTATAGGTAGTCCACAAGTGTCAGCTACATAAATCTAAAACGCCTAGGCACGCTTAAATAGGACACCTGGGGCACCGGATTTAGAGGGGGGGTTTTGTTTTGTTGTTTGGTTCTCTGGGAACTGGACAAGGTGGCATAGCCAAGGCCCTTCCAACTCTTAAGAATTCTTCCCCAAAGAAAATGCTTTGCAAATGCCTCAGCAGAACTCAAAAATATCCACAAACTCTGACACTAAAAAGTTGGATACGTCAGAAATCACTTCTGATCCTCCGGCGTCCTACCAGGTCTGCGAGCCTTCGATTTGGGGGTGCATGACATAGCCGCTTTTAAGCACACGCCCTCAATTGTTATCCCACCTCCCGGCTCACGGCTGGCCCTCGGGACTCAGCGACCCCTCCTCGCCAGGCTCCCCAGGGCCCCGGGCAGGGGACTCCGAGCTCCTGCAGCCGCAGAGTTCGCAGAGCTGAGGTCCGCCCGAGGGAGCAGCCGGGCCTCCAGCTGGCAGATCCGCGGAGCCAGGCCGGGAAGCATTTGTGCCTTGCCCCACGCGCCGCTCAGGTCCTTCCCGGGTCACCGTCCCCGCGCCCCGCGCCCTTCTTCCACTCCCGGGCGATACCCGCCCCCACTCCGGCCCCGCCCCCGCATCTCAGCCCCGCCTCCTAACCGTCTAGAGCACCGGCCCCCGCCTCGGGTTCCGGCTTCGATTTCAGCCTGGCCCCGCCCCCAACCCTGGCAGTTACCCGCCCGGCCCCGCCCCCGGCCCCGCCCCCGGCCCCTGGCAGTCCCAGAGCCCCAGCCCCGCCCCCAACCTTGGCAGTGACCCGCCCGGCCCCGCCCCCGAGCCCCGCCGCGGTACAGCCCCGGACGCCCAAGGTCGGGGCTAGACATGGCGATCGCGGCTTGGAGACTGGCGCAGCGTTGGTGTCCGAGGTAAGCTTGGAGCCCCGGCCGCCGGCCCAAGGTCTCCCACAGGAGACGGCTGTCCAGGCGAAGGTCGCCGCCGGTGGGAGCCGCCCCTTCCTGTTATCTTGTCTGGGCGGCAACAGAATTTTCCTTTGCTGGTTTTCCAGCGAGAGTTCGCTGGAGTGACCACCTAACGGGCGCGCCCTCCTGCACCGCTGGGCCCAGAGTGGTCAGGATGGACGCGTCGTGAGGTCAGGGCTGCGGCTCTCTGTCCCCAGTCCCCGAGGTCTCCGCCGGCGTCCGCGCAGCGCTCCCATCCCGCTGGGGCCGGACTCCGGGCCCTTGAGCCGCCCCCGCTGGGCACGGTGCTTCCTCCGGCGCCCGGGCCTGCACTTCCCAGCCGGGATGCTTCTGGGGTGCAAAGCGTTGCTTGCTAAAAGTGAGTGTAAACGTAAGCAGTTATCAGTCGTGTGGACTTACGCACTGTGCTTTTTGGAGAACACCTATGCAATGAAGCGAAGTGGTCGCGTGCGCGGTAACGGCTGAGAAGCGCGCTCCACCTCCCTGGGATGCCGGGAACCCAGCACGAATCTGTGTATAGGGAACAAAACCGGAACACGATGGTGGCCTTAAAGTGGTGGAATTATGAGTGATTTTCCAGACTTTAGGTATTTTCTTATATGGTCATGTTTTTGCAGTTTGTTTTTAAAACTCACGCATTATTTAAAAATAAATTTGTTCCACATTTTGTGGAAACGCACATTTCGGCTTTCTGTGGACACTTTAAATTTTTCTTTCGTTTTCTACTTGGAACTTGTCATGTAGGTTGCAGTTTTTCCCTTTACAGAAAAGCAATTTAATAAAAACTTACTGTAGGCCGGGCGTGGTGGCTCACGCCTGTAATCCAAGCACTTTGGAGGCCAAGGCGGGCGGATCACCTGAGGTCGGGAGTTCAAGAGCAGCCTGACCAACATGGTGAAACCCTGTCTTTAAAAAAATAAAGAAAAAAAAAAACTAACTGTAGACTGATCTTACTGAATCAGTTACTAAGTCCAAGGTTTGAACCTAGAGTGCATTGTACCATTTTCGAGTTACATAATTGTGTTTTGGGAGCGATACATGTTAGGTTTGGGCTTTGTAACCTGTATTATTTTAATCAACTTTGATGCCATTAACTCCATTATTCAGGGTCATCGTCGTGAACATCCATGTTTTGCTTGTGGCCCGAGTCCTTTGAAGTTTGCCACCCCACCCTCGCTCACTGTGTGTGCTTAAAAACGTAATCACCCCGCGGTTTCTGCTCTGCTCCCGGCTGGCTGGTTATACATCCCCATAGAAAGGGACAAGCCTGCTGAGCCCGCTTCACTGACTCCCTTGCGCTGCAGGTAGATTCCCTCCCACCTGCTGAGAAGGCTGTGGCTCTGTCTGGAATGCCAGCAACTGTACATACGTCCTTTTGAACATTTCTTGGATGTTTAGCCATTCTGCCCTCCTTCCGCCTGTGTATATGTTGGAACACCAGTTTTGCCAGCAAAGAGGTAAAAAATTGACCTCATATTAGTTTATGGCTTGTTTAGCAGTGAGTACAGAAGCTGTTTTAGGACTTTGGGACACTGCGCTAAATTCTGTGCGCTTAGCTTTTGGTCTCCTGCTGTTCACTTTCTTGCATGTTCTTCGTTTACTTCTTGCCTACTGCAAAATTTACATAGTCATTCCTGTTCCAGCTGCTTTTATCTTTAATTGCTTACAAATACCTCACTGGATGGTTATTTACTTTTTTATTTATTTACTTTATTTACCATTAGTTTCTGTGTTGATTTCTTATCTTGAAATCCTTACAGCCAATTATTTGCAGCCAGTTTGCTGGGGCAAGTATAAAGAAAATATTTGTGGACAAGCATGGGATTTTGCTATGTATGGGCTGGGAACAATTAGAAATGAGGCTGCAGAAATGTGAGGGTTGGGAACAAGTAGAAATCAGTCTGCCTCATTGTAGTTATCTGCAGGTCATTAGTTTCCCAGTAGTTCAGCTGCACATGAATAGAGCAGCAATGACAGCCAGTCAGAAGGACTTTGAAAATGCGATGAATCAGGTGAAACTCTTGAAGAAGGATCCAGGAAACGAAGTGAAGCTAAAACTCTACGCACTATATAAGCAGGTAAATGCCTACTGTCTGACATTATTTAAAGAATGTTGGGCAAATGACTCCTTAAATAGATACACTGTGTGTTTACTAAAATGTAGCCTTAATATTTTAAGTTTGTCTTGCTCCCTCTTCTCTGAAGAGTACATATATATATATATATATATGTGTGTGTGTGTGTGTGTGTCATTTTTTTATATTACCTTGAAATACTACTAATAAAGTAACCCCTCTGTGTCATGCCAGAGTAAAAGAGACTTACGAAATATAATATTCACATTTGTAGACCTTATTTGGCTCTTGATTAGAATAAATCAATTGAAAAAGGTATTTTTAAGACAATTGGGGAAGTTTTGAATAAGGATAGAGTATTAGAAGATGCCTAGAAATCATTGTTAATGGTGTCAAGGTTACATAAATGTTGATATTTTGAAGAAATGGGTACTAAGGATATAGAGGTGAAATAGCATGGATGGTTGAAGTTCTCTAAGCACAAAAAGAAAGAAAAGGATAGATGAGGCCAGGCATGGTGGCTCACACCTAATTCCAGCACTTTGGGAGGCTGAGGTGGGTTGATCCCTTGAGGTCAGGAGTTTGAGACCAGCCTGGCCAAAATGCTGAAGCTCTGTCTGTACTAAAAATACAAAATTTAGCTGGGCATGGTGGCACACGCCTGTAATCCCAACTACTCAGGAAGTTGAGGTGGAAGAATCGCTTGAACCTCGGAGGTGGAGTTTGCAGTGAGTGATTGTGCCACTGCATTCCATCCTGGGTGACAGAGACTCCGTCTCAAAAAAAAAAAAAAAAAAAAAAAGGATAAATGAAGCAAGTAAGGCAATTTGATAATTGCTGAACTTGGGTGATGGGTATTGGGAATTCATTATAATAGTCTACTTTGGAATGTTTGGAAATTTTTGTAACAAAATTTAGAAACTGAAGCTTTTAAGTTCCAATGCCAAAGGCTTCCCTGTCATGTCTGCCTCTCTGGCTCCTGTTTTTCTGTTTTATGTTATCTATTTTTCTGTTTTATGATGAGTATGACCTTCTCTTTCGTATGGGTGTGTATAGTAAAAAATTTAACCTTGCCCCAAAAGAGGTGTGGGTTTTCCCTCAGCTTCTGGGAAGTTAATCTCTAAAGCCTGATAGGAGTGTCTTTGTTTACCTGGATTGTCTTAATGATGTTTAGGGTGGGGGCTTCAGGTTATGCAATCATGCACAGGTGATGGAGCCCCACTAAAAACTCTGGACACTGAGACTGGATGAACTGAGCATCTCTGGTTGGCAGGACTCCCTGTGTACTGTCACATCAATTCCGGGAGAGGGGTCCTGTACTGACTCCATGGGGAGAGGACAAGGAAACTCCACATTTACTACTGCCCCAGACTCCATCCTGTGTATGTCCTCCAATGACTGATTTTAATCGCTATCCTTTCCCTTAATAAACTATTAACTATGCGTTTAACAGCTTGCAATGAGTTCTGGGTGTCTTCCTAGCAAATTATTGCACCTGAGGGTGGTCCTGGGAACCCTCCAGCCTTGCAGTTGGTGTGAGCATTGAGGACAAGCCCTTATCCTGTGGGTTGTGTCCCCTCTAACTTCTAGGCTGGCTGACTCTTGCCAGGTGATACTACCTCTGTCTATAGAAATTCATAGCCCCCTTTTCTGCCTTTACTGCCTTTTTTTTTTCTTCTTTTTTAAGACAAAGTTTCACTTTGTGGCCCAGGCTGGAGTGCAGTTGCACCATCTCAGCTCACTGCAACCTCTGCCTACCAGGTTCAAGCAATCCTGCCTCAGCCTCACAAGTAGCTGGGATTACAGGTGCCCACCACTACACCTGGCTAATTTTTGTATTTTTAGTAGAGACAGGGTTTCATCATATTGGTCAGGCTGGTCTTGAACTCATGACCTCCGGTGATCCACCAGCCTTGGCCTCCCAAAGTGCTGGGATTATAGGTGTGAGCCACTACGCCCAGCCTGTTTTTCAAAGACTTTCTTCTTTCCTCTTTTAGCCAACTGTATTATAAAATTTTAAACATTTTAAGTGGAATTTTAAATTGCCATTTCTGAGAAGTAGCTGAGTGGGATATTTTTCCATCTCAAAACACCCACTCCACCTAGCCTCAAAAATAAAATTTAATTGCTTTTTGCTTTTACTAAAGTGTTGTTCAGTCAAGTTTCCTAAGGACCAGTGGCTCTGACAGCCCCCACCCTTGCCGAGGCCTCAGCTACAGTTTTGTTGCCTAGGTACCAAAAATGCACACTGAATTAGTGGTGTTTTTTTGTACCTTCAGATGGGCTTTTGGAATATGCTGTGCATTTCCAAATATTTGTTGACTACTTCCTTTTAAAAATTGTTTGCTTGAATATTTTGATTGTGGAAAATATGATTACCAATATAAAACTAATGAACTGTTAGATTTTTTAGACAGTACTTCCCCAAAACCTTTATCTAGCATTATTTTCATAGACAGTTATAATTTATTTCCAGTCTTTTTTCTGTTTGTGCATTTTCACCAACAACATCAAAGAGACTGTAGGGGAAAATGCAGATCAATTTAAGTACTGAGAAAGGAAAGGATTTGGGGGAGACATTCATGCGCCTATGGATTTTATGGATCTTGAATATTTAGGGCTCCAGTTTACATGGACATTTGACCATTAATTGCCCCTCTCCTTTTCACAGGCCACTGAAGGACCTTGTAATATGCCCAAACCAGGTGTATTTGACTTGATCAACAAGGCCAAATGGGATGCATGGAATACCCTTGGCAGCCTGCCAAAGGTGAATTTACTAGTTACTCTACTTTTATTTGCTGTATTTCTAAAGAAGTTTGGTGCTTCTCATTAAGCCGTTATAAATGGAGGCTTCGAGGTCTTGATGTGCTTCTATTCTTCATTGCAAGGTGCTATTTATTAGTATAGTAACTTTCTCAAAGCGCTTATTCGTTGACCATGGGCTAAGGCTGATTTGTCATCTTCCTGTCAGGAAACTGCTCGGCAGAACTATGTGGATTTGGTGTCCAGTTTGAGTTCTTCATTGGAATCCTCTAGTCAGGTGGAGCCTGGAACAGACAGGAAATCAACTGGATATGAAACTCTGATGGTGACCTCCGAAGGTGGCATCACAAAGATCACATTAAATCGGCCAGCAAAGAAAAATGCCATAAACGTTGAGGTAATATTACCTGCCCTTGGAGTTTGTCCTGTTTTTCTTTCCTTCTTCTATGTGTTTCATGCAAAAGCTGTAGAGTTTCAGCATCATTCCTATTTTATTGTATCACTTGTTTGATTTCTGCAGGAAGGTTGGTAACTGTGGCTACTTCATACAACAGAGTTGAGTTATTCATTGTTTATAGTTCGTGAACTTCAGGTAGGTTCTGATATACCCAAAAGGCACTGTGACTTTCCTAACAATGGAAGCACAAATAAATTAATATAAATGAAACATGTTGCTATGAGAGAATTTGCATAGAAGCCCTCTAAAGTTGGTGTAGACTGCTTCCAGAAGTATCTTCATGTCACTTAGACTAGAAAGTAGGTCTTTCTGCTTGCATGGGGGCTTCATGTTTTATTAGTAGAGGGAGAAAGGGAAGAAGGACTTCATCTTACACAATCATAACCCAACTCTGCTTTAAAGTAGGTGCTTCACTCGGCAACATTAGAATTTAAATCCCTCACTGAATTAGAATGATAATAACCACTTTAGCCCCTTCTCCTTGAAAAAAAAAAGGTATAGAGAATTGGATGCTTGGTGCTCAATTGGCACTAAAACTTGAGAGGACAGTGACCATTGGCTTAATAATCTCCACTGTGAGGCCGGGTGCGGTGGCTCACACCTGTAATCCCAGCACTTTGCGAGGCCGAAGCAGGCGGATCACCTGAGTTCGGGAGTTTGAGACCAGCCTGACCCACATGGAGAAACCCTATCTCTACTAAAAATACAAAATTAGCTGGGCATGGTGACACATGCCTGTAGTCCCAGCTACTCGGGAGGCTGATGCAGGAGAATTGCTTGAACCTGGGAGGCGGAGGTTGCAGTGAGCTGAAATCGTACATTGCACTCCAGCCTGGGCAAGAGGAGGGAAACTCGGTCTCAAATCCTCATCATCATCATCATCTCCATTGTGGCAGAAAGAGCATACTCACTTTAAAATCGTCTTCAGAATTTCATGAAGTGGGATATGTGTCATTCAACTACTAAAGCATTTAATTCTCAAACTTTGTTTCCACTTTCCCGACTCATTTCTCTACAAACATGGTAATAATAGCTACTCTGTACAGAGTGACAAATGGGTGCCAGCACTCTCCACACAGATGTTTATTTAATTCTCATAAGGAGCCTATTGTCATTACTCAACAATAAAATAATTAGTTTAAGAAGTAACTTGCTCAACTTTACATAACAAATAAACAGCAAAACCTAAATTGAAACCCTGATAGCCGGGCATGGTGGCTCACACCTGTAATCCCAGCAATTTGGAGGCCAAGGTGGGCAGATCACTTGAGGTCAGGAGTTCAAGACCAGCATGGCCAATACGGTGAAACCCTGTCTATACTAAAAACAAAAAATTAGCTAGGCGTGGTGGTACACGCATGTAGTCACAGCTACTCAGGAGGCTGGGGCAGGAGGTGGAGGTTGAGCCAAGATCATGCCATTCCACTCTAGCCTGGATCTTGCAGCAAGACTCCATCTCAAAAAAAAAATAATAATAAAAAAAAAGTAAAGAAACCCTGATAATCCATCTCCTAATCCTGGTCTCACCAGTCGCCCTGCTGTGTTGCGTTATCATAACTATAATAATGGTGGAATGAGTTCCTTGTCACTTCCCTCAAGAGAAATGCTTAGATGCTTATTCATACACAGTCATCCCTCTGTATCCAATGGGAATTGGTTCCAGGACCTCCTTATGGACACCAAAACCCTCGGAACCCAAAGTCCTTCATAAAAAGGCATAATATTTGCATATAACTTCTCTATAAACTCCCATATACTTTAAATTATCTCTAGAGTACTTATAATACTGAACACAACTAAATGCTATGTTAAATAGTTGTTATAGTGTATTGTTTAGGGACTAATGATAAGAAAAAAAGTCAGTACATGTTCAGTGTAGATACGGAATTCTTTTCCAGATTTTTTTGACCTGTGATTGGTAGATCCATGGATGTAGAACCTGTGGATACAGGGGGCCAGCTGTTTTATGTAAAGTCCATGTTTGTTTTCCAGCATATTTGTATCTATAAGTATCGGCCCTCTTCATCATTCTTCCCACACTGAAATCTCATCTAAGATTTCAATTGAAATTGCACCTGTTTTAAATGCATTAAAAGCTATATAGGTGCATATCCAAGATTTTCAGAAGTGTTGCTGATTTAAAATTTTGAGGCACCTTCCTTGAATACCATTGCAGTGTCTTGAAAAGTCCAGCCTTTTGGCAGTCACTAACAGTTCCCAGACTGCCAGGGACTTCCTTGAGGTCACAACAGAGATGTTGTTTTATGGAAAGTTCTCTGATCACCTCCCACTCTGCCCACCCTAGATAAGCCTCAGCACCTCCTCCGAGTTCCCTGCTGCTTTGTACTTTCCATCCCCAACCTCATTTGAACATTGCTGTCCTCTGTTAATTCCAAAAGCTCAAGGCCTATGTCTTTCTTGTTCCCTTTTGGGAAAAAAGTGGTTTATAGCCGCCAGCTCCTACCATAATACCAGGGACATAGTATGCACCAAGTAATTGTAAAAGGAATGAAAATTATTTTTGGTGTATTGGTCCACCGTTTTGGTTATAAAATACAACCAAATTAAATGTTAGGCACTTTGCTGAGAGCAGCCTTGCAGCCTAACATTTAGTGAGTCCATTGGTTGATGATTCCTGTGTTCAGAGTTCTTTTCTCTTCTTTGACTTCCCATTACACAGATGTATCATGAAATTATGCGTGCACTTAAAGCTGCAAGCAAGGATGACTCATCCATCACTGTCTTAACAGGTAAGACATTTTCTCAGATGTCCTAATTACATTTCTATTTTGAGGGGATCTCTTAATAGATAGGAAATTGAGTTTAAAAGCTCCAGGATTGGGAGTCCACAGCAGGCAGATCACGAGGTCAGGAGTTCGAGACCAGCCTGACCAACATGGTGAAACCTCATTTCTACTAAAAATACAAAAATTATCTTGGTGCGGTGGTGCATGCCTGCAATCAGAGCTACTCAGGAGGCTGAGGCAGGAGAATGACTTGAACCTGGGAGGTGGAGGTTACAGTGAGCTGAGATTGTGCCACTGTACTCTACCCTGGGCGACAGAGTGAGACTTTGTCTCAAAAAAAAAATTTTTTTTCCAGTACTGTCATACTCCAATTTATGTATATACAAAACATATAAGAAACACAGATACCCACTCCTTCGAAATTACCCAACGTAAATTAAAATACCTATATCCTCAAAAATACTTTAATAGGAGCAGTCATGGTAATCTGATTTATAATTGCCAAAACCAGAAAACAACTCAAATGTTCAAAAACACATAGATTCCAAAAGTAATTGCAGTAAAAAAAGGTAAAAAAAAAAATTCAAAAACACATGTATGAATAAATTAATTATTGACTATTTATACAGTGGAATACTCAGCAATACAATGGAATAAATGATACAAGAATATGGATGCATCTTTTAAACACAGTTCAGCAAAATAAAGACAGGAGTGTACTTATTGTATAAGTATTCATAGAAAGTTCTACAGTAGGCAAAAGTTCTTATCTGTGGAAATTGAAGTCAGAAGGTGATTGCCTTGGGGCAGGTGGGATGGTATGGCTAGAAAGGAGCCTACGGGAAACCTCTAGAATGATGGAGATGTTCTGTGTCTTGTTTTGGATGGTGATCTTGTGGGCATTTAAAATTATCAAAATTCATCTAAATGAACATTTAAGAGCTGGTCATTTTATTGCATATAAATTATTCTTTAGTTAAACACACACACACATTCAGATACACACTTTCAGTGGCTCTTAGAATAAAGAAAAAACTTCCTCATGGGATCTACAAAGCCCCATCAGGTCTAATCTGCTGGTCCTTATCCTGCACCAACTTCCTCCTGGCTTTCTCCGAGTCAGCCACAATGACTCTTATTTCATCTACACTGGGGATAACCTCTCCAAAGAGCCTTTGCACAGGCTGTTCCTTGGTGTGAACTGTTTTTCCTAGCCCTCTTTTTTCTAGCCAACCTGGCCTCTCCTTCAGATCTCAATTCAGTTGTCCCTTCCTTAGGAAAATCCCCTTCTGAACTCCCTGATTAGACCAACCCCCACCTCTGGTACATACCCTCATTTGATGATGCACCTCTCCTCTATTTCAGTATTTGCATTAGCTACATTTATCTGAGTGTTTTTATAGATCAGTGTCCAGCATACTCACTAGCGTTTGTAAGTTAGGGCAAGAACCATCGCTGGTTCTCCAATGTATTTCCCATGCCTAATTGTAGAGCTTGACATGCAGTAGATACTCAAGAATTATAGAGTGAATGAATGAGGGATCTGTTGATTTTATTATTTATAGGAAATGGGGACTATTACAGTAGTGGGAACGATCTGACTAACTTCACTGACATTCCCCCTGGTGGAGTAGAGGAGAAAGCTAAAAATAGTGCCATTTTACTGAGGTAAGAATAATTGACTTTTGTCTGATCGCAGAGGGCCTGTTCTTAGTCATCAACGTGGAATTTAGTTGAGCAGAAGTGAAACATCTATTTCTCTGTGTTGATCCAATCAATTGTGACTTTGGACAAGCATATTTCTCCAAGCTGCCTGCATCCATAGGTGGGCATTCATTCTCTCTCTTTGACCTCTGTTACCTTTTCATCCTGCTGATCTCATGAGATTTGACTAGAAAACATAAAAGTTAGCTGTAGTTGTAAACAAAATTATCCTGCTTTGAGACAGAGGAATTTAGCAAATTCTCATCCAGCCAGAGGAATAGACGATTTCCATGAATGCTGAAAGTAGGAGACTTGGAGGAAACTTATAAAACACGGGAGGAGGTCATGAAGGCTTTATTCCTGCCACATCTGTAATTCCCACTTGCTGTAATATTCCAGTGTGTGCTCAGTCGCCCACCCTAATCTCCAGGACTGCTGCTGGTTTCCGGCCCGAACTCACTGCCCGGAATACAAGATTTGATCCAGGGTTGACCCGTAGGTCTCACTGCTTGGTTTTTCATCCACCGCCATTCAAATGGATGTCCTGGATGAATCTGGTGTGGAAGACCAGGGAAGTGGCCGGTCAGGGAGGCACTGCCCGTGGTGGCTGTGGAAATACCCAGCCGGCCAGAAACCTTTGTTATCTCAGAGTCAGACTGCCTTGCCCATGCTTCAGTCATGCTGCTTTGGCACATTTAATGATTTTGTGTTTCCATTTCTATAGGGAATTTGTGGGCTGTTTTATAGATTTTCCTAAGCCTCTGATTGCAGTGGTCAATGGTCCAGCTGTCGGCATCTCTGTCACCATCCTCGGGCTATTTGATGTTGTGTATGCATCTGACAGGGTAAGTCAGCTCCCAGAAAGCAAGAGGTCAGGCAAGCAGAGCAAGCCGAGAGCCTTTGAATCCTCCTTGAGTGTTGCCAGCCATAAGCAGATTACATGTGGTTTGCAGTAAAATTAACCGAATTTAGATTTTTCTCAAAGCGTTAGTCTAACTAATTTGACTGATTTTATTTTTCCTTATTAACTTGCATTTTGTTGTGAACACTGTTCCAACTCTGATTGTTCCAGATTCTAATCAAATTCCACAATAGGTATTCAGTTTTCATATCACTCTGAAATACTCAGGAGACACTTGAAAATGTATTATGGGAGGGAGGAATAGCATATTTGCAGGTTGTGCAAGTGGAGATTATTTGATCCTTTTTTCTAAGTAAATGGATTAGAATTTTAGAATAAGAAGGAACTGTGAGCATTATCTACTCTCACTCCCTCCTTTGCAGATAAGAAAACTGAAGCTCTGAGAAGTTCCTTGCCCAGAACACAATTCAGCCTTGTGTTCACCATTGCATTATATAGATTTTCATTTTTATTTTTACTATAGTAGTAATATATATGTCATAGTGCAAAATAAAATTTTGAAAGATATGAAAAAGTACCAAGAAAAGCTGCAAGGTAAAAATCACTCCTTACCACCTAGAGATAACCAGTCCTAACATTTGTGTTATTAACTTATCTTGTTTAACCAGTTTCTGACTGCTGGACCCTAGGCTGTTTCCAATTTTTCTCATTACCAGCACCTAATAACCACCTTTAGGGTTATCAGGTTGTTCAAGTGACTTATGCCTATGTGATGGTAAAATGTGCTGATTGCAGCCTTCTAGGAAACACAGGGTTTTTACCACTGAAGAGATTTCTAGTTTTGTTCAGAGATATTTTCCCCACCAATAGACAGGATCATATTTTATTGTCCTTAATTCTTTGAATTTTCTTTTGCTGGATCCCACTGAACCAGATTGGATGCACTGACAGACCTAATTCTTATGAATAATTTTCCCAAAAAAATAGCAAATGAGATTCTAGGTGCTGGGCTGCCCAACCTTTGTAGTTGGAGGTTTCTGTTCAAAGGCAGAAATCAGTGTCTTTGTTCACATTCTGTGTTTTAGATGACTGATTAGGCATTGACCTGCTTTTAACAGGGTCTGGGTCAATGGTTCCTGACCTAAAATTGGGGATATTCTTTAATACTTGGAGGGCAAATATTATATTTGAATCTTGTTCTGATTCTCCCAGTGAATTGAAAATTATCTTCAATATACATCATCTTTTTTTTTCTTTTTTTGAGATGGAGTCTCACTCTGTCACCCAAGCTGGAGTGCAGTGGTGTGATTTTGGCTCACTGCAACCACCACCTCCCAGGTTCAAGTGATTCTCCCACCTCAGCCTCCTGAGTAGCTGGGGTTACAGGTGTGCACCACTACACCCAGCTAATTTTTTAATAGTTTTTGTAGAGATAGGCTTTTACCACTCTAGCCAGGCTGGTCTCAAACTCCTGACCTCAGTGATCTGCCCGCCTTGACCTCCTGAAGTGCTGGCAGTACAGGCCTGAGCCACTGAGCCTGGCCTACAACATCCTTTTAGAGATTTTGATGACTTTCCTCTTATGATACAAATTGTAATGTTGAAATCAGAGAACATATATATATTATATATAACATACCTATTCTATATATATTATAGCATGCATAGTATATGTATATTGCACATATATATATAAAATGCCAAAATTTGGCCCAAAGTAAAATTTATTTGTCAAATAGTGTCTACTGATAAAAGTTGACCCAACCAAATAAACCAAGCATCAATTTAAAATAAACTAAATTGAGGTAGGCAGATCACCTGAGGTCAGGAGTTCAAGACCAGCCTGGCCAACATGGTGAAACAGCGTCGCTACTAAAAATACAAAAATTATCTGGGCTTGGTGGCAGCCGCCTATAATCCCAACTACGTTGGAGGCTGAGGCAGAAGCATCACTTGAAACCAGGAGGTGGAGGTTGCAGTAAGCAGAGATCGCACCACTGCACTCCAGCCTGGGCAACAGAGCAAGACTCCATCTCAAAAATATATATAAATAAATAATAAATACAGGAAATAAGCTAAAGGAAAAGGCTGCAGAAAAAAAATTGTTTTTATAGGATTTATCATTATTGGCTTCATGAATAAATAGCATATTAAGTGGTGGGTAATATTTAACCCTTATAACCAAAATATTAATCAGTACATTTTATCTATTTTTTACTGTGGGCAATGGTTAATAATGCCTGTTACCTCTGTCAGCAAAGGATACATTTCCTGTGTGAGTTAAGAAAAAGGTATAAATCATAATAATAAATCTTTGAGTGCTTACTATTAGGCACTCTGTTAATACGTATTATAGATATTATAAATATATGCATACACGCACACATTTTCATGTAATGTACACAGCAGTCCTACATAAGGACTCAGCCGGGCACAGTGGCTCACTCCTGTAATCCTGGCACTTTGAGTGGCTGAGGCAGGTGGATCACCTGATGTTGGGAGTTCGAGACCAGCCTGGCCAACGTGGTGAAACCCCGTCTCTACTAGAAATACAAAAATGAGCTGGGTGTGGTAGCGTGCACCTGTAATCCCAGCTACTAGGAAGGCTGAGGCAGGAGAATCACTTGAACCCGGGAGGCGGAGGTTGCAGTGAGCTGAGATCGTGCCACTGCACTCAAGGCTGGGCAACAAGAGGGATACTCCATCTCAAAAAAAAAAAAAAGAAAGAAAGAAAGACTGGTTCCCATTTTACACATGAGAAAACTATGACACAGAGAAGATAAGAAAGTTTCCCAAAGTCACTAAGTAGTCTGATCCCAAAGCCTAAGCCCTTAACTCCATCTACTGTTCTCTTTCTGAAAATAAGCATTTTATGTGCTTCTTATTGGCAACTTTGCATGTACCTGTTTGTGTCCCTTTAGCTGCTGTTGGCAGTTTTCTCAGTTTCCTGCTTATATTCCTTCGGCTGTGTCTTCTGGGTACATTTTTTTGCATAAGTTTTCTTTTGGATAAAAAAAGATACATGACATTAACAAAAACTTAAAATATTTTGATTATTTTTATTTCTTTTTTTTTTTTAAAGACGGGGTTTCACCATGTTGGTCAGGCTGGTCTTGAACTCCCGACCTCAGGTGATCCGCCCACCTTGGCCTCCAAAGTGCTTGGATTACAGGCGTGAGCCACCACGCCCAGCCTGATTATTTTTATTTCTATGCTGCATATATTATACATCTTCTAACAGTTATCTAAATATTCTTTTACATATTGTAAATTTTAAATTAACATTCTTTCATAATAATTTATTCATCAAGAAACAGAAAAATATGTCTTAAATGTAACAACAACAGAAAACTAAAAATGACAATATACTAAATAACCAATATTGAATTAATTCCAGTAGTCGAAGCCAATCAAAAACCACTGGGGCAAAATCAAGACAAATGACAGATTGAGGAAACAATTTTTCAACTCATGTAGCAAAGGCTGATCTCTCTACAGTGTGTTTTAAAGTTTGTCTGTAAAGCGATGGATCAACAAGCTAATATAAAAATGGGCAATGGTGAGGAATGAATAGGCCACCAAAAAAATGAAATGTAAAGGGCTACTAAAATCATATGAGAGAAACAATTGAGAAAATGAAAAGATAAGCCACAGACCAGGAGAAAAGATTGGCCTCACGCTCATCTAATAAAAGACTTGCAACCTGAATGTGTATCTTACTAGATAATAAGAAGGTAAACACCCTAACTTAAAAAATAGTGGACAAAATATCTTAACCGTTGCTTCACCAAAGAAGATATAAATATGTCTAATAAGTGCATGGTACAAGACTCAATATCATTAATCGTTAGGGACATGTAAATTAAAACCACAGTGAGACCCCACTACACACCTACTAGCAGGGTTAAAATGAAAAAACTTTTAATAGCTAGGTTTAGTGAGGATGTGGAGCAACTGAAACTTCATACATTGCTGGTGGCAACGTCAAATGGTACAACCACTCTAGAAAAGAGTTGAGCAGCTTCTAAGTTAAATATACCTTTACCACACAACCCTGCTATTCAACCACTCTTGTGATAACTGAAAACATGTTCACCCAGAGACCTGCACACAAATGTTCCTAACTACCTTTTTGTTAAAATTATCTGAACATTTTTATTTTTTATTTTTTTTTCAGTTTCATTGTGATATAATTGACAAATAAGTATTGTCCAGTCGGGTGGACTACATGACATTTTGGTCAATGACAGACTGCATGTACAATGGTGGTCCCCTAAGATATACCATATTTTACTATACTTTTTCTATTCTTTTTTTTTTTTTTTAATTGAGATGAAGTCTCACTCTGTCACCCAGGCTGGAGTGCAACGGCACGATCTTGGCTCACTGCAACCTCCTCTTCCAGGTTCAAGTAATTCTCGTGCCTCAGCCTCCCGAGTAGCTAGGACTACAGGTGGATACCACCATGCCAGGCTAATTTTTGTATTTCTACTAGAGACAGGGTTTCACCATGTTGGCCAGGCTGGTCTCGAACTCCTGACCTCAGGTGATCTGCCCACCTCAGCCTCCCAAAGTGCCGGGATTACAGACATGAGCCAGCACACCCAGCCTACCTTTTCTATGTTTAATATGTTTAGATACACACATGCCACTTGTTACAACTGCCTAGAGTATTAAGTATAGTAACATGCTGTCCAAGTTGGTAGCCTGGAAGCAGTAGGCTCTACCACATAGTGAGGTGTGCAGTTGGTTGTACCATCCAAGTATACATAAGTATACTCCATGATATTTTCACAATGACAAAATTGCCTAATTATGCATACCTCCATGGTTAAGCAACACACGACTATATATATTTAAGATGTTCAACTTGTTTTTCATAGCAGCCTTCTTCATAATAGCATTTCATACATTTCTGGTGGCAATGTCAAATGGTACAACCATTTGACTACTAGAAACAACATCAATGGCATTAACTGGTGAGTGGATAAACATATTATTGTACATCCATACAAAGGAATACTACTCAGAAATAGCGAGGAACAAATTACTAATATATACAACAGCATGGTGACTTTCAGAAGTCAGACTCAAAAGGCTACAGAATATAGGATTCCACTTATACAACATTCTATAAAAGTCAAAACTGTAAGGACAGAAAACAGATTAGCAGTTGCTTTGGGTGGGAGGGAGGGACTGGCTACAGAGGGGCCTAGGGAACCTTTTGGGGTTGTGGAAATGTTCTGCATCTCAGTAGCAGTGGTAGCTATATAACTATATTTGTTAAAACTCATCCAATTATACACTTTTAAAGGGTGAATTGTGTGTGCATATTAACCACATAATCTTAATTTTAAAGTAAATTTTATTAAGCATTTCGAAGTTATAAGCAAATCATGATTTTTTAAAATCATACACGATGCTGGGTGCAGTGGCTCACGCCTGTAATCCTAGCACTTTGGGAGGCTGAGGCAGGTGGATCACTTGAGGTTAGTTTGAGACCAGCCTGGCCAACACGGCGAAACCCCATCTCTACTAAAAATACAAAAATTAGCTAGGGGTGGTGGCACATGCCTGTAATCCCAGGTACTCGGGAGCCTGAGGCAGGAGAATCGCTTGAACCCAGCGGGGCGGAGGTTGCAGTGAGCCGAGATTGTACCACTTCGCTGCCACCTGGGCAAAAGAGCGAAACTCCGTCTCAAAACAAAAAGGTCACACATTGAAAAGATGGTTTTCTTTTCTCTCCTACCCCCGCAGGCAACATTTCATACACCGTTTAGTCACCTAGGCCAAAGTCCAGAAGGATGCTCCTCTTACACTTTTCTGAAGATAATGGGCCCGGCCAAGGTAACTTTTGCAATGTTTAAAAATAAAACTTTTATGAGTTATCTCAAGAACGAAAGAAGAGTAATCTCATATAGCCTCCCTTCTTTCCCTAATATGGACAAAGGATAAGCGAATTATTTGCTCTTCAACTCTAAGAGTTTTACCTGTGGAGGAATCAGGCTATGGGAAGTATCTGCTCTGCAGGAAAATTAGAATTTATCTCTGCAACTCCCAGAACTAGGATCCTTCTCCCAGCTGATTGCTTAGTGCTAGCTGCATTGCAAGCAGCACAACACCTCAGCCTTGCAGCTGTGTGGCATTAATCACTTGAAGGATCAGGGCTGTGCCAGCCTCCCTTGGTCCCCTGAGTTTGGAGGCCACTCGGTTCCTTTATGGATGACCAGTATCCCCTAAGGAGAGATATGATATGATGACACCTTCACTTTCAGAGTTATAGTAAGTATCAGCAGATGAGAGGTTTCATGGGGGCTCACCGCTGCCAGAGCCACTCCCAATTGCAGCAGCCCTTGCATCAGCCTGCCTCACTGGTGTATTAGCTCCCAGGCTGGTTAAGTTTCTGCTCAGGTCTTTCACTGTGTTTCCTAGTTACCCATGCCCTGTGGCATGACTTGAAGGGGATTGTGACAAGACTAGAAGCTGAGAGGGGCTTAGCAAATATTCAAGATCTCAAAGTAGGGCAGTGGGAATTGAGCCTGTTTTCATTGCCTACTGGGATTTTGTAAAAAACATGTATATGTATGCTTTTAACCTCATTAGGCTATCACATACCCTGAATTGAACTTGGGAAAAGGGTGGAACTGATTCTAAAAGTCTTAGAGCTTTTTGCTATTAGAGCATTCCTTGGCTGGGCACAATGGCCCACGCATGTAATCCTAGCATTTTGGGAGGCCGAGGCCAGTCAATCACTTGAGGTCAGGAATTCAAGACCATTCTGGCCAACATGGTGAAATCCCATTTCTACTAAAAATACAGAAAATTAGCTGGGCATGGTGATGTGTGCCTATAATCCCAGCTTCCCAGGAAGCTGAGGCAGGAGAACTTGAACCCAGGAGGGAGAGGTTTCAGTGAGCTGAGATCATGCCATTGCAGTCCAGCCTGAGTGAAAGAGTGAGACTCTCTCAAAAAAAAACCAAAAAACAAAAATTAGCCAGGTGTGGTGACAGGCACTTGTAATCCCAGCTACTCAAGAGGCTGAGGCAGGAGAATCATTTGAACCCAGGAGGTGGAGGTTGCAGTGAGATCATGCCAGTGCACTCCAGCCTGGGCAACAGAGCAAGATTCTGTCTCAGAAAAAAAAATAAAAGTGTTTCTTTTATGGAAGAGAAATTGCAAATGTAGAGAGGATATCCACTTAGTGTCCTCAGTTTTTCTGGAAGCTAACTATAAGTCTTTTCTTTCCTTCAGTGAAATAGAACTAATTTGAGTACCAATGCAGGTAAAGAAAACTCTCAAAGCCAGATGACCGGGTAGAGTTTCTAGGGAATGGAATTTCGAAAGTTTCTAAAGATTAACTCAATGACCGTGATTTTTCTTTCCTTTTTTCCTCTTTAAGAGTTTATAATGTATAAAATGGAAAAATCATAGCTGCTATGGATTATAGAATCAAGCATCTGCTTCAGGTCATTTCTCCCGTGGGCCCCCTAGTCTTGCCTCTCCAGCAACGACACACACAGAAGCCGCAGCCCTTAACAGACCTTCCAGGGAGCCTGCAATAGTCTCAGCACACGGTTTGCAAACCATTGCCTGTTGAAGCTGACAGCTTCTCCCTTACTGAGAAATAACAGCAACCTCAAAAGATCTTTAATAAATCTCTCTATGCCTCCTGAAAGCAGTTAACTGAAGCCTTGTCTTATTAAGTTAATATCTTAACCTTGCTTCCTGCTTTTCATTTCAGGCAACAGAGATGCTTGTTTTTGGAAAGAAGTTAACAGCAGGAGAAGCATGTGCTCAAGGACTTGTTACTGCAGTTTTTCCTGACAGCACTTTTCAGAAAGAAGTCTGGACCAGGCTGAAGGCATTTGCAAAGCTTCCTCCAAATGTTAGTATTCATCTTTTACTTTTAAGAACCTTGAACATAATTTCCTAAGGGAAAAATTTATTTGCCTTCAGAGAATAAGTCATAAAAACACAAGACAGGCCGGGCGCGGTGGCTCACACCTGTAATCTCAGCACTTTGGGAGGCTGAGGCAGGCGGATCACCTGAGGTCGGGAGTTCGAGAGCAGCCTGACCAACATGGTGAAACCCTGTCTCAAAAAAACAAAACAAAACAAAACAAAACAAAACGAAAGACACATCTTTAGTTAGCTTTAAGCACATCTAAATTTGGGATTAAAAAATAAGTGTAGTAATGTTATAAATATAGTAATGTTTTTTTTTTGTAAAAATACACTATGGATTTTTACAAAACTTACCAAATATACCTTCCATTTCTGTGTGGGGACAAAGGGGCACTTCTCTATGGGGGTTACTTGAGCAGGATGCTAGGCAGTATTTGCTGAGCACTTTCACTTTGGAATCCAGGTGAGAAGTCAGGCAGGTTAGCTACTTTATGAGAGTCTTACTGTATAGCATTTTTGTTTTTATATGTGGTAGTAAGTGACTGATTGCTTTTATATTCTTGATATTCAAAATGTAGTCCTAGAACCAGAAGCTCGAGCAGCTACCTGGGGCTTTTTGGAAATGTATTATCACGGGCCTGCCCCATACTTACTGAAGTGATTTATATGCACACTGAAGTTTGAGAAGCACTGTCTTATATTACACACGTGGCTTAAGATTTAACAGGATTAGTGCCCAGCACAGTGGCTCATGCCTGTAATCCCAACACTTTGGGAGGTCAAGGCGGGCAGATCACCTGAGGTCAGGAGTTCAAGACCAGCCTGGCCAGCATCACAAAACCCCATCTCTACTAAAAAAATACAAAAATTAGTTGGGTGTGGTGGTGGGTGCCTGTATTCCCAGCTACTCAGGAGGCTGAGACAGGGAGAAGTGCTTGAACCAGGGGGGCAGAGGTTGCAGTGAGCCAAGATCGCACCACTGCGCCTGGGCAACAGAGTGAGACTGTATCTTAGAACAAATAAAAAAGAGTTAACAGGAGTAGTTAAATGAACATGGGAGAAACAAGAACCAGAATCATAGAATAATCCACTCCTATTAGATTAACTTTTTTTTTTTTTTTTTGAGACAGAGTCTTGTTCTTGTCACCCAGGCTGGAGTATAATGGCATGATCTCAGCTCACTGCAACCTCTGCCTCCTGGGTTCAAGCAATTCTTCTGACTCAGCCTCCTGAGTAGCTGGGATCACAGGCATGCGCCACCACATCTGGCACCATGTTGGCCAGGCTGGTCTCGAACTCCTGACCTCAGCCTCCCAAAGTGCTGGTATTACAAGCATGAGCCACCACACCCAGCCTAGATTAACTCTTAACCTTATTGTTGGTTTTATTTTTCCAGGCCATGAGAATTTCAAAAGAGGTAATCAGGAATAGAGAGAAAGAAAAACTACACGCTGTTAATGCTGAAGAATGTAGTGTCCTTCAAGAAAGATGGCTGTCGGACGAATGCATGAATGCAGTGGTGAACTTCTTATCCAGAAAATCAAAACTGTGATGACCACTATAACAGAGTAAAGCAAGTCCAAGGAAGGATGTGCTGTTTCTTCTGATTTCCAGTACTTGAACTAAATAAGCTTCATTGTGCCTTTTGCAGCACTAAAATGTCAATTACAATTGATGATATTTCACTACAGCCCTAATGAATAAAAAATTTTGTAAAACACGTTTAAGAATTCCATAGGTTTTTGTAAGAGTCTTACATCTTTTGACATGAATCGTTGTTGCCAGGAACACTGGAACATGTTGCCTGGGATCCTACTTTGAAAAGCACTCACAGCATTACAGGCTGAAGTCATGTCTTTGAATGCCACTATAGCACTTTGACGTCCACAAACAGTGACTGACTGAATTGGGCCAAATGCTGACAGCCTACAGATCACTGACTTGAGGTCTTCAGCGGGTTGCATGTTCTTTTTCAGCCATCTAGCAAGGGAGCAAAATGGAAGGAATTGTATTACTAGAAAACAAATCATCTTAGTTTCTTTTTTTTTTTTTTTTGGTACAATTTTATACAGAGGCATGAAGGGAAAACAGGGTCATTTCACTGGAAAGCAATGTTCCGTATCAGTAATTGTTTCCTTATTTGTTAGAGAGTCCCATTCTTGTTTAATGAGGTACTTAATGAACATCATACCTGCAAGCTGCCTTGATTGTCCTTGCAGCACCCTGTTTTGATTAATGTCATAGCTATCACTTGACAAGGACTGAGGGTATAATTTCAAGGGCTACAGAAAACGATGGGATATTTTGCTTTTCCAAATACTGGTCTTCCTTTTGACCTTTCCTTCAAGGTCAAAGTTAGCTAATTCACCAAATCTCTAACTTTTTTTTCTTTTTTTTTTTTTTTTTTTTTGTTGTTTTTTGCGATGGAGTCTCACTCTGTCACCCAGGCTGGAGTGCAGTGGCGCAATCTTGGCTTACTGCAATCTCTGCCTCCCAGGTTCAAACGATTTTCCTGCCTCAGCCTCCTGAGTAGCTGGGACTACAGGCATGTGCTACCACACCTGGCTAATTTTTTTATTTTTAGTAGAGACAGGGTTTCACCATGTTGGCCAGGCTGGTCTCGAATTCCTGACCTAAGGTGATCCGCCCGCCTCAGCCTCCCACAGTGCTGGAATTACAGGTGTGAGCCACCGCTCCCAGCTAGTTCTAAATTTTTTATTCCAGTAATTGTAATCCAAAATGTTCAGTTTTATAGAAAATATAGGAATAGAAATAAGCATTAGTTTTGATTAGCAGTTACTAGTGCTTAATGCCCATGATCATATTTTATCCACCAAAAACTGCCAAAAATTAAAAATGAGGTAGGTCTGTTGCTACTAACCATTTTCAAGTAGGCATCCGAGGCATGGAGATTAAAGTAGCTTATCCAGAGTCAAACTCCCAGTAAATGTAAAAATGAAGGTAAAGATGCAGGCAGAGTCCTCCTTCCACAACAGCAGCACAAGCCAACTACTGCCCATTCCTCCCGCTAATTACAGCTAAAATCTCTAGATGAAATATGAAAAAGAACTACTTGAGCATGCTGACATTAATCAAAAGCTGGTGGATTATGGAAGGGTGTCAAAATACACAGAAGCAACTGCACAAGGATAAGTTTCCCAGATTAGGAGAAATAAACACAATTGCTGGTATCTATCTCCTGAGCATGGTATTAGAAGTAATGGCAAAAACTGATTACTTTTGCATCAAACTAATATTTTGGCCTCAAAGGCACACCCCTATTGTGGAGCAGTGCTGCGGTGACCATGGAGTGGCCAGCCAAATAGAAGTTGAGGAAAACAACACCTTGGAAAAAAAAAAAAAAAAAAGGTCCTTGGGGCTAAAGAGTGAAAGCAAGAAGACAATTCCAGAGCAGAGAGGAAAAAGTTCTAATTCTGCGTATGAACCCATACACGTCTGATTCCTAAGTGAGACAGACACAAACCAGCATAGCAAAGGCTTTGTGAAGTATACTGGGATTTTAACCACCACCCACAGAAGATCAAGACAGCTTACAGTCTGAACCTAACCAGATTTATTACTTGCTAAAACAAAAACAGCATTTTCCAGATGATCGTAACATGATCCACAAAAACATAACTTTCATCCAATGCCACAGTATAGTAAATATTATACTGTGTGGATCCTGGGATCCCTGTCCAGTTGCTTCTCTGTCATTAAGTCATATGGATCATAATATTTATAACACTGTGTGACATACAAAAAAAACAAACATGGAAATCTGAACACTTGGGTGAAACAGACAATCAGCACATGTCAATCTTGTGATGACCTGGACTTTGGAATTGTCACACACAGTCTTTAGTTCTTATAACTACATTCCATGAGGTAAAGAAAAATGCACTAGAAATGATTTTAAAATATATGAATTTTCATCACTTCTCAGCCTTTTGGTTAAGATCAAGTGTAAAATATATGAATCTTCAACAGGGAAACAACTATTGAAAACAGAACTAAACAGAAAATTTAGAACTAAAACTGTAAAAAATAAAAATTCACTGAAGAGACTCACTAGAGGCAAACTAGATGAAAAAGGAAGGAGTCAATGAACCTTGAAGATATAACAGTAGGATTTAATGTGAGGAACGGAGAAAAGGAAATACAAGGAATAAATGAATAAATAGTGATATCAGCAAGATGACAGAGGAATTTCTAGGCCCTCATACTCCAATGGAAATATCAAATAAACAAGTATGGACTAATTAGAATAACTTTATGAGTTCTGAAAATTAGTCAAACATGTCCAGCAAACAAATGAATGCACAATCAAGAAAGTCACCTTAAAAGTGGTAGGAATTTTTGTAATATTTGCTCTTGCCCACTTCCCTGTGTGGTGCAGTCAGGAGCAATTGGCCCAATCCCCTGTTCCCTCCCTCAGGGCATAAAAAGCAGAGTGAAACTTGTTGCAATATCCTGACCTGTCTGTGGGCTGCCTAGGGCACTGTTGTCTGTAATGCCCAACTCAGATATCAGATAGGAAACAGCAACATAGTTTTGATTTCAGGCTGAAAGCCACAGAAGGCTGTGGTGAGCAATGTAGCACATGAAAATGACACAGGGATTGCTGACCTGTGGACTTCTGAGGGCAGCAGATTACAAACAGAGAAATACAATAGACTATCTAAGGCCCTAAGAAGAAGCTACAGTGAGACTCTTTAGGGAATTAAGACCTTTAAAATCACCTGTGGTGGATAAGGGGAGCACACAGACATTCACAGAAAGGAAGCATGCCTAGAAAAGACATGAGGAGACCTGGACTAATCTCAGATTAGTGAAGGTCTCATGGGCTCACAAATTAGTGAGGTCTTCTATGCCAGTCTGCAAAGACTGGGAGAGTGGCCACATTTTTTTAAATACCCCATTTTCCAAAAAAGGTCATAAGGCATGCAAAGAACCAGAGAAACATGGCTCATTCAAATGAACAAAATACATCTCCAGAAACACTTCTGGAGATGTATTTTGGCATCAGGCTTACTAGACAAAGACTTTAATTGTCAACCAGGTGCAATGGCTCATGCCTGTAATCCCAGCACTTTGGGAAGCCAAGGCAGGCAGATCACTTGAGGCCAAGGGTTTGAGACCAGCCTGGCCAAATAGTGAAATCCCATCTCTACTAAAAATACAAAAAAATAGCTGGGCATGGTGTTGCACACCTGTAATCCCTGCTACTCAGGAGGCTGAGGCATGAGAATCACTGGAACCCAGGCAGCAGAGGTTGCAGTGAGCCAAGATCACACGACTGCACTCCAACCTGGGCAACAGAGTGAGCCTCTGTCTCAACAACAAACAACAACAACAACAACAACAAAAAAACCCACAACTGTCAAATATACTACCAGAACTAAAGAAAAATATGAACAAAGAACCAAAGAAAGCTAAGAAAACGTATGAACAAAATGAGAATATCAACAAAGATAGAAATTATTTAAAAAAGAAATTATTGAGCTGAAAAGTACAATAACTGATTTGAAAATTTTATTAGAGGAGTTCAGCTGTAAACTCAAACAGAAAAAAGAATAAGCAAATTTGAAAACAGCTCATTTGAAATTACTGAATTTGAGAAGCATACCGAAGAAAAAATAAAGTGAGCAGAGGCTTAGGGATTTATGGGATGCCATTATGCTGACCAATATATGCATAATGAGAGTCCCAGAAGAAGATGAGAAAAAGGAGAAGAGAGACTATTTGAATAAATAGTAGCTGAAAACCTACCAAATATGAGGAAAGACATGGATATACAAATCCAAGCTCAATGGTCTCCAAGTAGGACGAACCTCTTAGACCCACACAAAGACACATAATCAAATCTGGCAAAAGTTCAAGATACAGAGAATCTTGAAGGCATCAAGAGAAAAGTGACTCATTATGTATAAGAGATCTGCAATAAGATTATCAGTGTATTTTTTCAGCAAGAACCTTGGAGACTAGAGGCAGTGGAGTGATATATTTAAAGTGCTAAAAATTAAAAATAAAAATTTGTCGACAGAGAATTCTATACCTGGCAAAATGTTTCTTCAAAAATGAGGGAGAAATTGAGACATTCCTAGAAAAACAAAAGCTGAGGGAGTTCATTATTACTACACCTGCCCTACAAGAAATGTTAAAGGAAGTCCTTCAGTTTGAAATGAAATAATGCTAGATAGTAACTGGAAGACATATGAAAATATAAAGTTCTCCAGTAAAGGTAAATATATGAACAAATATAAAAACAGCATTAATGTAATTTTGTTTTATAACTCCACTTTTGATTTTCTACACAATTTAAAAGACAATTGCATAGAAATAATTATGAATTGATGTTAATGAGTATATAATATTAAAAGGTATCATCTGTGACATCAATAACATAAGGGCAGAAGAACTATAGGGAAGCAGAGTTTTTATATGCAATTAAAGTTAAGTTTGTATCAATTAAGATAGATCATCATAACTTTAGAATGTTATATGTAATGTTCATGGTAAGCGCCAAGAAAATATACACAAGCAGAAATGAGAAAGGAGTCAAAATGTGGTATTTCAACAACTTTAACTAAATATAAAGGAAGGAAGGCAGTATTCAAGGAAATGAGGGAGAAAAAGGCTGTAAGGCACAGAGAAAACAACAAAATTGCAAAAGTAATCCTCATCAGCAATTACTTTAAATGTCATTGTATTGAAATGTCAAAAATCATAAGTTGGCAGAGTGGATATAAAACTAGAATCAACTACATACTGTCTAAAAGAGTCTCACTTTAGATCTAAGGACATGAATATGGTGAAAGCAAAAGGATTAAAAGATATTCCGCGCCAATAGTAATAAAAAGAGAGCAGAAATGGCTATACTAATTGACAAAATAGACTTTAAGTCAAAAACCATTAAAAGAGACAAAGACATAATATAATGATAAAAGGCTCAATTTACCAAGAAGATATGACAATTATAAACATATGCATTAAATAGTAAAGCTCCAAAAT